CATTACTAATTTATCATTAACAGTAAAATTATGCTTTTAATTAAATTTATTAACACTGTTAAATAATTATTTTATAAAAGTTATTACATAGACTGGCACTCACAAGAGTTATATATATATATATTCTTAAATAACCAAAGTAAAGAAAACTTCTTTATTCTAATAATACTCATCTTTTAAGCCTTTCCAAACTGTAACTTAGAATAACTTACAATATAGTATCTAGTTTTAGATATCATTTTTGATGTTGTGAAATTTCCAAAATTTTAATGCGAGACATTGTTTTGAAAAAGAAATTCAATACTTCAAATTAAAATTTTATTCTTTTAATCAGAAAGTTACATTTTATATATCCAGTCAGTTTCAACTTTATTTATATTCATTAGTATATTTCGATTTATATATATATATATTTTTTTTTGTTGATTGCGGTAACTGCTGCTTCCAGTTATAGGTTGTAGAAACACCTCAAAAACTGACAAAAGTTTATTGGTGACCTAGGACCTTACCTTTCAAAATGGCCTCGGGTAATAAAACTTGGTTGAGATCAATTTATATCTAATAAATATTATTTCTTTTCAATAAACCATAAGTTTTTTTCATTTGTGTGTGTTATGTAAATGCAGTAAATGTAATAATGATATTCAATAAATATGAATTTGAGTCATCAGAATATTTTTCCATTGCCTACCACACTCTCGGAACCTAACTAAGTTTACCTGATGGCTTGTCACAGAAGAAAATTTCCATAGCTTTAAAACAGATACAATTTAACACTAATACATTTTCAGTACAAAAAAGAATACCTAAAGAAACTACAAAAATTTAAGATCTGCGGTTTGTTCCCAAGTCTTCTAAATTTCCAGTTAGATTCCTGCATTCATATTCTCAGATTTACCATTCACAAATATTTAAAAATCATATAATGACAAAAGCAAAAAACTTGTTTCACACCTATTCCCAGATTTATTTCCTCTGGTATAAATAAATACTCTTACGATAAAATCAAATTGTGAACTTCAACACTTCTTAAACAAACAAACAAAAAAGGATGTTATAGTTTATAACTGGCTCTAATCAATAGTATTTAAACTCTGTGCTCTTAGCTGTTTTCAAAGCTAAGCTTCGTTATTAGTTGTTCAGATCATTTCTGAAACATTGTAAAAGGATGATAACAAAAACCTGTAGTAAGAAACCTAAGTAAGGAACAAACCATGAATAATTGTATTCTCAAGGATTAATAGTTTCTTATCAAATATAAACCTATTCTTTAGGATTGGCAGAAAAACTTCTAAAAAAGTTCCATCAGCAAGACTTCTCGGAGTGGTGCTCAAATGAATGTTTGAACATTTTTCTATGCAAATTACACTAAATAAAAGATACAAAATGACAAAACATCAATTATCAAATATTCTTGAATTAAAAACTGTTGAAAAAAAAAGTTAGAATTATTCATTTTACTTCATGTGTTCACTCCACACAACAAAGGTGGTTTGTAATCCAGATAGGGTAAATCCAGCGAGTTAATTACATTTACCAAGCTACCACTTTGTAACCTTAGGCTAGATGTACTCTTAGCTTCGTAATGTCTGTCTGTGGAACATACCTTTTCATTTTATACTTCTCCAAAAGTTATTTCTCACAAGTGAAAAATACTGGCAAGGCAGTATTCAATGTACTCTAATGTCTGCATGATCAGTGAGCTTATGAACACGACAATAAAAATTAATTACACCCATTCAGACAATTCTTTCCAAGTAAATCACAAAATAAAAATCTACTATTTTTAAAGTTCCATTAAAATCATAATTGATCAAAACATCTGTCTACATTTCCTTTGTACTTTAATAATGCAAAATTAACTTTTTTCAAACAAATCGTAAAATGTCACATGATGCTATCAGAAAAATAGGGTAAAATGTCTATTATGTTCACTCACTAGAATAAAATACTACTATTTTTATACCTATAAAACAATTATCTGTTATCCTCTTCCGACGAGGGTTTCTTCTAAGTAGATCTAGTTCAAAACTACTTGGTTCCCATTCATAATACTGCTCTTTAATACCTGAAAAGACAGGGATTCATACAACAATATATTATCAACAGTTCATGGTTTTACAAGAATGTTACTTACAACAATATATTATCAGATGTTCATTATTTCACAAGAATGTTACTTACAACAATATATCATCAACAGTTCATGGTTTCACAAGAATGTTACTTACAACAATATATTATCAACAGTTCATGGTTTCACTAGAATGTTACTTACAACAATATGTTATCAATAGTTCATGGTTTCACAAGAATGTTACTTACAAAAATACGTTATCAACAGTTCATGGTTTCACAAGAATGTTACTTACAACAATATATTATCAACAGTTCATGGTTTCACTAGAATGTTACTTACAACAATATGTTATCAATAGTTCATGGTTTCACAAGAATGTTACTTACAAAAATACGTTATCAACAGTTCATGGTTTCACAAGAATGTTACTTACAACAATATATTATCAACAGTTCATGGTTTCACAAGAATGTTACTTACAACAATATATTATCAACAGTAAATCATTCCACAAGAATGTTACTTACAACAATATGTTATCAACAGTTCATGGTTTCACAAGCATATTATTTACAACATGAAAATACATTTTATAATTCAAATATTTATATTATCTCTGTTTTAAATTCTTAACTTTATAAGAAAATGTTTCCAAAATTCTCACTCTTCGTTCTTTTGCCACGTTCTTTTGTCGTTTTCGGAAATTTGTAACCTCCAGAGTTTCAGTAAGTTAGAAATACTAATTATGTCTAATTAGAAGCAAAAATCTAAAATTTCAGCCTCCATACCTTTTTGGTTTCCTGAAATACCAATAAATTTGTCAAACCCACCAGAGAAGCCCCTCTCTCTGGCTGATGGATAGCCAACAGAAAGCAGATTCTCCCGTGTACAAGTCACTACAGCTATTTAATTTGTCAAACCCACCAGAGAAGCCCCTCTCTCTGGCTGATGGATAGCCAACAGAAAGCAGATTCTCCCGTGTACAAGTCACTACAGCTATATAATTTAGCCACCTACAGAATAATAATCCGTCACAATTTCTTTGGGTGCAAACACCATATTCCTGCACCTAATATCTAACAGACTTTTCTAAAACTACTTATAGATTACTCAAAAACCAAATACATTAGTATTGTGATACTCTATTCACAAACTGATGTACTTTTTATGTTCTAACATGCATAGGAATCCATATTAGTTCTTTTTTTGGACATCCAAGTTTGTAAGACTCAAGAAAGCCGACTGAAAAACATTATTCAAGTGCAAAACTGGCCTTGAGTGTCAGTGGGTACTACAAATCCTTGTTGTCTATATTTTTTATTTATTGTTATATATTCTTAGCATAAATAACTAATATATAACAATTATAAACTTCTCAAATTAGTTATTCAGTAAAATAAAATGTATAAAATTTCACAAGCTCATCGTATGCCTAACTTGTTTCTGTTATTTACAATAGCTCTATGGTAAACAGCTAACTTGCTTCCACTGTGCATTACCGATTTTCACACACAGTAGTAGGTCCAGAACATAGCAGTAAAACCATAGAATTAAATAAAGAAGATGTGTAAAGATTAGAAGTTGAAGCTGTTAAGATAAATAATTTGGAATTGTATGGTAAATTCTGCAGTCACTCGAGACAAAAAAATGGTGTTATCATTTTTATTTCACATTTTTCAACTTTCCATTTCACTGTAAACTGATGACTTCCCTATAGTTAGTGTTAGGGTAGAGAAAATAAAAGATCAAATACAGAGTTATACCAAAAACTTTTGATAGTTATTTAAAGGATTTTACAGGATATACCAATACAATATAAAAACTGTAGTATGAAAATTGACTTTTAAAAAAACACTGACTCGGTAAGGGCTTTGAAAGTTCATAGACATATATTCAATGAAAATACTTTATTAATGATCTAATTTTATTTGCATCCAACAGATCTGTTTGTTTTTGAATTTCATGCAAAGCTACACAGGGGCTATCTGCGATAGCCATCCCTAATTTAGCAGAGTAAGACTAGAGGGAAGGCAGCTAGTCATCATCACCCACCACCAACTCTTGGGCTACTCTTTTACCAAAGAATAGTGGAATTGACCATCACATTATAATGCCCCCATGGCTGAAAGGGCAAGCATGTTTGGTGTGATGGGGATTCAAACCCGCGACCCGCAGAATGCGAGTCAAGCACCCTAACCACCTGGCCATGCCGGGTCTAACAGATTTGTACTGTTTACTAAGAGCTTATCAAATTTTGTGAAGATTTATTTACTTTTAGAATAATAATATGAATAACTTCATTGTTAGAAAAATCAGTCAGATTGACCGAGTCCACTTACAGGAGTTATTCGGCATATATATATATATAACAACATATTTTGCTAAAAATCTATCCTTCAGCATGAAAAATAAAACAAAAAACATGTATATATAAAGAGTGATAATTTATTACACATGGCACAGAATATATATTTTAAAAGATAAATGCATTCTACACCACTGAGATGCCCAGCAAATTTAATAAGAAGGGGCATTTGTATTAAAAAATGTACAACTTTACTGACAAACTTTTAACTGATATTGAAATGCTACTGCTTTTGACAAGATATAATTACAAAAGAACATTACAAATACATTGGATTTTTCAACTAGTCGACTTTTCATGGCTACTATAATACTGATATATATTAGTACTGCAGTAATATAAATATTATAAGATAACAATTAGACTGATTTATTTCGCCTAAACTAGCGGAATGCCTGTCGCATGATGGTAAATGTTAGTAATTTTTTATCTGAACATTAAATCTAAATGAATGTTTTATGTTTCCTATATAATAATTATATTATGGTAACTACAGATGTATGAAGAATGTTGTTTTTCTAGTATCAACATGGCAACATCTGTGAACGTTTGGTTATCTCCTGTAAGTGGTCCTTGATTACAATATTGACTTGCGTATATTTTTATGTTATTTTCAATTGTTCTTCTCGATAATACCTTCTAGATTGAACATTGGTTCTTGAAGAAATATTCCTTCATGGTCAAATGTTTAAACTTGCGATTTATTAATTTTGACGGCAAAGGCAAGGAATTTGAGGGTGACGGGAAAATGCACAAAGGTATAGCTTTTCATAAAAAATGCTTATAAAATTGTTAACTAAATTTTTGAAAATCTCTTACCTAAGTTGAAAAACATTAATAATAATGTATTGTAGTGCCATCTATTGGGTTGAAAAGATATATAAGATGTGTTTGACAAAGACAGGCACTGGTGTTTATATGTAATGATATGATCCCTGATTTAATCTATAATGGTATAAACATTTTTATGAATATTCCAAGAGCTTGCTGTAAATATATTTATAATATTTTAAAAAATTAAAATAAATTCTTGACACGACTATGATTTGAACCTGAGGCTTCCACACGATAATCGAGCATTATAACCACCGTGACACCCTGTTTTTACAATCAATTGTCAACAAATAATTCAAATCCCTAATGTTAACTATCGTGTTATTCTGATTTTTCCTGATATTGTATGATGTTGCTCTAAACATGAGTTTATAATTAAAAAGTTTTAAAAAATCCCCGCTTGACTGGGATTTGAAAGCGAGACTTCTGCTTGAGAGTAACTGCTGAGCCAATATGAACACTAACAACAAAGAGAGCATTACAAACAGAATGGAACGTTACCAACAAAGGAAGCATTATGAACAATGAGTGACTTTTATATATATATATATATAAATAAATAAGATTTACACACATTCTGTTAACTTTTTCAAACTACAGTAGTTATTCCAATTAAATAAAAATATACAACTCAATTTAACATGTCTACATAACCAACTTTAAATGCTGTGAACTATGTTAACCTTGTTTCTACATCGTGCAAACATACTCAATATTATCCAACAATTAATATACAAATAAAGGAATGGTCAATAAATATTGCTTAAATTTACTTATGATATTAAGGTATTGGGGTTTGCTGGCTCTGAAGATGCTACTGCTTTGCAAATGGATTTAGATCATTTGAGGGGTTGGGAAAATAACTGGCAGATGGCTATGCTGTTGCTAATTCCAGAGCAAATAGAATTGTGGATTGAACTTACAGAAATAATGAACAAGTCTAAATAAGTTATAATTCCTCGTATAAGTCACTGGTTGAGCTGTGTTTAGAGTATTGTGTTCCATTTAAATAAATAGGCCTAGGATGTATTTTTAAGAGGATGAGACAGTCTACATGGATCAACATGCCTCATGTTTTCCTCAGATGTTGATTCTTTTAGAACTAAAAACCTTGAGTTCAGACAAACTTGTAAATAAGGTATACTTTCTAAACTTAGTGTCAATTACTTGTGTGTTTTTCCTCTCAGTTTCATAGTAGTAGCATGAACGTCTGTATCCATTTTAGTTTCATGGTAGTAGCATGAACATCTGTATCCATTTTAGTTTCATGGTAGTAGCATGAACATCTGTATCCATTTTAGTTTCATGGTAGTAGCATGAACATCTGTATCCATTTTAGTTTCATGGTAGTAGCATGAACATCTGTATCCATTTTAGTTTCATGGTAGTAGCATGAACATCTATATTCCATTTTAGTTTCATGGTAGTAGCATGAACATCTATATCATTTTAGTTTCATAGTAGTAGCATGAACATCTATATTCATTTTAGTTTCATAGTAGTAGCATGAACATCTATATGAACATCAGCAAACGTAAGTTACAATATCTGTACCTAATCGTGAATATTTGAGGGCAGAAAATTACTACACAGTAACTGAATTATCATAAGGCCTAATATTTGTCATTAAAATTAAGATGCATTTTGATATACATATTTCTTAATTAGTCAATTGCAGATTTCATAAAAGAAAACTGTTAAAACAGCATTTCAGCTAAGTTTAATATGTCACAGAAAAAGCATTTCCTGTCATGTATTAAACTTATTTTATGATTTCAGATCTTACCATTTGTCACAAATCACTTCCCAGGAGACTTCTTGTTCAAAATCTTTGATGTAAACTCAAACCATTCCTGGTTAATTCTAATTTTATTGTCGGGGTAAATAAATACATCTGCACTTGTAACAATGTTGTATTTAGACTACTTTTTTTAACAGCATAACTTGTTTTTTAAGTATTATGTTTACTTCCGTCTGATGTAAGACATATTGACAATTTCATCCTGAAGTCTTGAAGGACAGTAATTTTTTTTTACATTAGTCCTTTTAATTGCAAATACAGAAAATAAAGTAAGATTCATTTTCACCAATTTGTTCACTTCGTAACACACTAAATACCAACCATACTGATATTACGCAACTGAAAACTCACCATTCAACTTAGCTGCTTTACGTCTGAAAACTCACCATTCAACTTAGCTAACTTTACGTCTGAAAACTCACCATTCAACTTAGCTACTTTACGTCTGAAACTCACCATTCAACTTAGCTGCTTTACGTCTGAAAACTCACCATTCAACTTAGCTGCTTTACGTCTGAAAACTCACCATTCAACTTAGCTACTTTACATCTGAAAACTCACCATTCAACTTAGCTACTTTACATCTGAAAACTCACCATTCAACTTAGCTGCTTTACGTCTGAAAACTCACCATTCAACTTAGCTGCTTTACGTCTGAAAACTCACCATTCAACTTAGCTGCTTTACGTCTG